CGGATCTGATCCACCAGTTGGGGGATCTGATCCAGCAATTGGGGGATCTGATCCAGCAATTTGACAAAAGGTGGATCAGATCCCCCAATCAGTGGATCAAGTGGGAATGGGCTATTATACACATCCGTGGGACCAGGCCCCAGGGCATGGTTGCTCCGCTGGTTATCAATAATCAATTTTATTTATCGCTACAGAGGGAACCATTCATATGAAGGTAATTGTACCAGATTTCAATGACCATGTACTCTGAGAGAATCGCGGCCAACGGTGAAATGTGACCAACAATGAGAAAAAAAATAACCGACTAGGGTCGTTCAATTGTAACAGAATTGTGCATGCGCATTGCTAAAAAGCAATTGACTACTGATTGAACTACGCATGTAGTTGCCACCACAACTTGCCCATTGTTGTTAAGGAGTCTAGTTGGGTTTGAGTTGATGGTAACATCAACACGGATTTCAAGTCTTTTATTGGTTGTTTGCATTCCTTATCTCTTAACCTGTCTTCAACTTTTCAAATATACTCAACTGCACCACTGTAACACTGCATGTCAACACTGGCAAAAAATGCTAAAACAAGTGATAATATATTTCGAATTGTAACAAAGATTGTAGGAATTTTTTTTCAAGAAAAACATCCATGATACTGACCGCCAGTATGTTTCCGGCAAATGAGACAATTCCCTTGCCAACATTATTCACTTTGGATTCATCACTGGTTGTCTTGGTGTCACTTTTAACAAAACTGACCATATCATCCACAATCCCTGACAAGGTACTCTGAAAGATAAGAGAAATCAAAGAATTCTTATACAAACATCATAATGAGATGAACTATGACCTCTAGTCGCCTGAATGTAACAGTTACAATCTAAAGACACATGGTTATTGCACACTCTGTTTGTTTTGACAAGAAAGAAGCATATTTGGCACTTAACTCATTTCTTTAACCCCACAGTTCACATCGTAGGGTGCTGACTTAACCTCACAAGGACATGAGACACTCAAAGACAAGACAACATTAGTTTCCGTGCAATATTCAAATTTGTCTTCATGTGTAAGGTAAATATTCAAACTAATTTGACCACATCAGTGGTCAGAAGCTCAAACCTGACCATCTGTCAATTACAGAGTATATTTCTGTGTTGTGGCTTATACCCGTGCAAAGTTCCTACCATCAACAACACACAACACACAATAAATTTGCTGTTAAGTACATGTATTAAGGACTTCCAACTGGAGGAAGTTACCCTAAAGGAGCTGGGGGGGGGTGCGGAATCGGCCCCTCCTTGACATTTTTTTGATATCTACGCAGTGCTTTGATTTCAGGAACTGAGCCTTCAAGAGATTTAGAGTAACCCTCTGCAGTCATTTCGACACCATTTTTGTGAAAACTGAATATACAGTTTCTTGCGTAGTGTGCATTTTTCCGAGACAGATAGGCCAAATACTTTTTCCGCTGCGATGCCAAATGCAAACAGGCTGGAATGGGTGTAGCCTGGAACTTCAAATGACTGTAACAACAATACCATTGAGTTTAAACTTCACATTTATAACAATGAGTGTCTTCACATGCACACTGAGTTTACAAAAATCAGCACAGAGGTGTGGGGGGCACATAATCCAGCCCCTCCCAGCTGTGAAATTGGTCAAAATATGCCAGCTCTTTTAAAGGTTAAGTGGGCAACCTCTTGCTGGCATTATGATGGACAAGAAAAGATTTTTTTAATTAGAAAAATTGCCACAGCAGAAATTGCTTTTAAAAACATACATGAATGTGCAAAGATAGTATTATTTTGAATAATGATGATTTATTCAAATTTACTCAGCCCCACCAAGAGTCAACATTTGAGAAGTGGTGTGATCGGGCGAGGGGTGACCAGACAGTAATAAAGGCAAGACTCACCAGAGTACCAAGAGATAAAGTTGAAGTGTCATTAGTTATGATGCTGATAGTGCTTGACTTCAAGATAATGTCGTCTGAGCTTGTCGTTTTAACTGACGATTGAAGGGTTACCATTTTGTCTATTGCCTGCAGAAAAGACCACTCATTACAGTTACTAAATGACCTACAGAACAATCAATGACTCCATCAGTACAAACACAGATAAAACACACTGTACACTTCCTAACAAATGTGCGATCAATTAATTTGATCAAATGATCAACCAGTTTATTAATCCAATAATCAATCTTAAACCAGTGAACCTAAGCAATCCCACAGTCACTGATAAACATAATCAATAAATAAATTATTCCAATTATCAAGTAATAAAAGACCAAATATTTTCAAAACTAACCTGAGTTTGTTCAGCTCTTTGATCTTCCTGTTTTGGTGCAACAAATAATGGACAGAAACATAATTATAAGATGTAATTTTTGCATTGGTAAGATATTTAGTTTGCATGCGGCTGTTTGCTCTTCATCAAAACTTGTTGATATTCATTTTTGTTAAGTGTTGCAAGTTGGACTAGTGCTTAATTCTGCCTACCTCTGAAATAGGTCCGTCAGAAGAAGCTGAGAAAGATAAAAGTGAAAGATGCATTATCAAAAATGCTTGAAGTACACTGTATCCACCATCTTGGAGAAGTTCAATAATGTGAAAGAACATTTTACTAATCAAGTAAAAACCAGAACCAGAAGCCACAATAGTATAATGGGTCAAGAATGGCACAGGCTTTATGCAGAATGCCTCTTGAACCAAAGAGAAGATGTGACTCAAGAAAACTGCAAGCACATTTCCTGTTTCAAAATGCTCGCAATATACTTGCCCTTGTGATACCAAATGGCATCTCCTTGGATGTGTCTAACAATGGAAGCTTACCAGTCGGCAATGCAGTGGTTGTCAATAGCAAAGATGCATCCAACAGAAGCTGTGCATTAATGACATCTGGATTGCCTTCTGACATCAAAATTTCATACAATGCCTCCTGCTCAGCGCTGAAGTTTTTGGATAATCCTGCAACAGGTGGATTGACCTTCAAAAAACAAGACAACACCAGAGTTTAAAAACTTGTGACTGTGTAGACTGAAACATGCATTCACACATGTACTGGAAGGCTCTCACTGAAGAAACGAACATACACAAATTATAAAGAAATCATTCTTGTCCACTGGAATAAGGGTGGGAATTTACGTTTAATTTGAAGAACATTTAGACAACTTTCCCATACCATTTAAACGTTTAGCCAACACTTTACAGTGCCCGCCGCTGCTCAGGTTTAATTCTCTGACCCAGTCACATGTGAGTCACATGTGAGTTGAACAGTTTCCTTCCTCTATAAAAGTCAACACTTTGAGCTCTGAATGAGCCTCCAGGTCAGATCTAGGTCATCTGACACCTGCATAGGGTGTGGTTATGTACTTGTACCTTCAACTTGACCAAGTTGTAATGTAATGCTTTGTAATTCAGCCACGTGCATGCAAAAACCAAATCATGTAATTAGCACCTAAAATAACATTTTATTTATGGCTGAATACATCCCATCATCTGATTGGTCAATGCAGATCACATGATGTGACATAGTTTGACTAATTCATGGTGTTCGCGCAAGCAATACTCAAAAAGTGAAGGTTGTACAGCGGAAAAATAGCCAGAGAACTTCAACTGAAAAGTGTATGTTTAGAATCGCAAAATGAGTTCCATAACATTAAAATACATGCACTTAAATTAAACATAAATATTCTACAAGGTGTTGACATGGTTGAAGACTTATAATGAATTTATAGAAATTATTGCCCATTAGATGAGGATTTATTTAGACATTGTATAAAACAATTAATGCGTCTTTCACATTCACACAATGGAAATAATTTCCTTGGGTTATTGACTGAACGTTTCATTGCACTCAGTTTGCCTGATGGATTTCTTCTTACCACTTAACTCTTATTGCATTCATTATTTGCATAACGTGTCATTTTGGACAGGTTACTCACTGTAATGTTAGCAAATATGACAGTGGTCGTTGCCCCAATACTGTCCTCAGCAGTCACTCCTAAGGAGACGGAATAATTATTACTCTCGGAGCCAAGTGGTGGCTTGACGGTTACATCAGAGGTTGTACCAGGCGAGTTGACAAGCACTGCTTTAAATGCGGCTGTCTCAGCTGAAGACAAAGCAAACATGAAAAACAGTCTCTTTAATCAGTTTGTCATTCTTCAAAAGCCATTTCCAGAATTTTTCAAAGAATTAAGAAAATTCCTTCCTTGAACTGAAGATATGGGTGGTACAAAATGCATAACAGAACCGGCATCTTGAGATTTTAAAGACATATTTTCAGAAGGCAAAGGCGTTGTAAAAATAACTGTTGCAATAATGCTAATATAGGGTATGGTTTTTCACCACACAGATCCATTGGCTAGTGTCACAAAGAATTGTAAACTAGAACTGAGCGCTGTTTGTGTGTAAAATTGGACACAAAATTGGGCCCTTTTAGTACAGCATGCTTGGTTGACCAATGTCCAACCTACCATAAGAAAAACATGAATACAAACAGATTGAAACTCATGACGAATTACAAATGAACCTCCCAAATATGCCATTCATAAACACCTCAGATAGTTTTGCTATTCAACAACGTGCATCATGACCATGTATTAAGATTTGACAAGGCTTGCTATGATTTGATAATGCCTTCTGTGTAATGCGCTGGCAACTGGATATGAGATAATTTCAAGCATAGCTATTGTTGTTCAAAAGTCTGTGCATGCTGTGGCCCACGGAACTCGCCATGTGTGCCAAGTCCATATCAGACAATTCTTCTCAACTACATGTAAGGATCATACCAAAAAATAGATGGGGGTGTTCAGCAAAATGAAAGTAAAATTCTTGAACAAAATCCTTGGAAATTTATCATACATTGACTTCTTTTGATTCTCTGACTGAAACGGTATTATGAACAGGAATACAGATGTGCTTGGTCAATCTTAGACTAACATTTAAGACCGGCCAAGCACATATTTATTCCCTTACTAAAAGTGATCCCCAGCAAAGCTGGATTATCCGATTGGCACTCTTGGCACTGTAGGCCTAGGAACAATTCTGGAGCCTACAAAAAATTTTGACAGCCTACAAAAACACTGCAGTGTGCTTCACTCTTCAATTCGAGTGGCTGACTGTATTGCTCTCTTATACAAAGTAACTAAGTAATGTTAAAACCATAATCCTCATTCCAACCTGCCCACAGCTTACCAAAGAATTTGTACACGGCTATACCCTCCCAGTCTTGCCAATCAGTACATTTGATATCCACAGACATTCCAGCCGTGATGCTGTCTGGTGTCACAGTACACTGCCCACTGATCGGAGCTTCATTCAATCGAATCTTCATACTGGCATAACCCCTGCCTCGTTCAGAGTTAACGGCATGGGCGGTGATCTCAAACAGGGAGTAATCAGGAAAAGCTGAAAAGAATTCCCTCTTGATGTAAAGATACTCTGAGTCCCCTGCAAGTGAACGTGAAATAGTGTCAGCAAAAAGGACAGTAGTATTCACTATATGATAGGCATAGAAATGTGGGGAAGTTTAAGGAAGCTAAGGATGCAATTCACAACTTCACTGGAGATGAAGTATGAAGATTCAGACATCTTGTGCAGGAACAATTCAACACATCATGGTGAACTCTGTATTAAGCAGTAACAAGTGAAGTCTACAGTTATCTGATTCATCCCAACACTTGAGTAATTCCCACTGAGTTTATGCATAGAGCTACAAGCTCTATGGTTTATGCACCTGCAGAGGCTTGAACTATGGCCCAAAGCAAGCCAAAAGAATTTAATGAAAAAGTATTGAAAAAAATGGGAAGGAAAAAACAAAAAGGACAAGACTGAAAAGACTTAACACCAAAAGACAGAAACTTTTCAAGGACTAAAACCAATATAGTGTGTCAAAACAGATTGAATAAGGAGACTTTGGCTTTCAATCACTGACTCTTTAGCAGCAGACAGGATCCTGACTCAGGCAAAAAAGCACACCCCACAGTATACATAAAAAGTGATAGTATCTGCTGGTCTGCTCTCCAAACTAAGTGTGATCAGAGCATGCCGTCAAGTTATATGGGTAGAAGGACCAAAGTAAATAAACAGGGGGATACACTAACAGAAAAATACAGGGGGGACTCTAAACTAAAACTGTGCATTTTTAGAGGGGAACTACTCCTATGAAGAGATACTTGTAAAAAGTCGACTAAACTTCTAGCTCTGACAGACAAGCACCGATATGGTGCCAATAAGGTGCAAGTAAGTATGCATGTTTATGTACCCACCTGACGTCCACATTTTCCAATTTGTTAAATTGATGCGACTATCTGAACCATTCAAAGCCTGTATGTCCCATGTGTAACGGACACCACTGCAGAATTCATTACAAGAGGCTGTTAGTCGCACACTTCCCGTTGGATTGATAACTTGTGCACCATCGCCTTGCATGTAGATAGTACCACGACCAATACTGGATGTTCATAAATAAAAACCAACCAACGATGTTCAGCAGAAATGTACATGTCACTCTTGTGCAATACAGTATACATGTATGCCTTCGTAGTCCACGGTTAGAACTATTAGAGGACCACAAAAACAGAGCATTTAAGCAGCCAATGAAATCTACAATGGTGGCAAATCTACTTATTTTAATGTTATTTTGATGAGTGTTGGGGTTGTGTCTTTTTTTTGTACCAATTCACAATGTCTTCTGAATTTGCTATGTTTTTCATGGGTGGAGGGAGTCCCAAGTCAATTCCCTGTTTGTGTTTTGGTGCTTCACTGTTGACTCAGTGCAAGACATTTCAAATGAACAAACTTGACACATTTTGTTTCTGATAGTTTGGGGTTTTGAATTCATACAGAAAAAGTGACACCACGGAATGTCATCATATAATGTCATAATTATCTATTGTCCTTAGACGGAATAGCAGAAAACAGTATTGACACCATTAGGCCGGGTAGTCCTAGCTTTTCAAGGTCTTATGTTTCCTACGTAGTCCTGTGCCATTCTCAATTTACTTTACTTTAAATACTAAACAATTTAGTTCTCTTAATCCATTTCTTATTGAAGTAATTGAAATTCCTTAATGTTTACTATGACCTGAGCAAGTTCATTTGTAGTTAATTTTTTTACAAAGTCTTACAGCAACATGTATGTAGATGTAAATCTGTTTCATTCTAGATGTTTTAACTGGTATCTTCCTTTCAATTTACTGTATTGTAAGTAAAATTGTCATTAATTCAACTCTAGGCCTGTGACGGGAGAGTAAATGAACCATATTCATTTATACACAGTCTAGCCATTACTATTGGTTGAGAGCCTGTCCAATGATCCTGCTTATTAAAACAGTTGATAAAGCACCGACTGGCTGTTTGCCACAAACTATATCCCCCACGTGTGCCAATCTACGGGGACAATTTGTTTAGCACTTCTCATGAGAGGCATATATTACAAAATCGGTTGAAATAATGAAGTCAAATTGTTGAATAAATCGTTAGAAATGTTAGATTTTAAAATTTAATTTGACTTTGTAACTCAAAAGGTGTATCAATAACTTGCAAGCTTGGCTGGCCAGAAACATTCCTTTAATAGACTGGCTCAGGAGAATGGGTATTGATAAAGCCTTCTGCTTGGGTAATATCAACGTCCAATCCCCTTTATACATTATATTTTTTCCCTTACTAACTCTACTACTACTAAGTTACTGGGTCTCCGTCACATTCAAACTAATGCCATTTGAGACGGTGTCTCAGTAAAAGTTTTTTCCTGTCTTAAGGATATGAGGTCCATGTGACGGCAAGTTATGTGTTTCAAAGTTGAAATTCTCATCCTAAAGACAGAGTGAACTGCTGTTGACAAGGAATGTCACGTTGAAATACAACACTAGCTGGTACCCTGCAGCACCTCTCAGTGCAATACCTTATAGCTGCCTGTGGTGGATCACCCTCACGAAGTTCTAGAACCAAGCTGAAATTACCCCTCCTAATGTCCTTCTTAATGATGACCAGGAGCTCGTAACGAATGTTTGTCTCCATGAGAGACGCATTCCAACTCAAAGCTGGAAGAGTGGAGTTCAAAACACCTGGACCTGGGGAAATCACACAAAGTGGATTAATGGAAGAAGCCCTTAAACCTTACAATGTAGCAGAATAGTACATGTGGAATGTTGCTCACCAATGCATGGAACATGACGTCTACCAAGCTTGTGCTTGCAATAAAAACATTACATATTCTAAAACGAACTGTTACCATTCTTGGGAATGTTTCAGATATGCCAGATTTGTAGTTACTTTATGTAACAAACATTTAGTATTTAAGCAAGCATTCTTACCTGTCCCAAAACAGCCACCTTTATCATCTTCCTTGGTGTAATTTTCTGGCCTTGTTTCAGGGATCTCCACATAGTAATCAAAAGAAGGGTAGTTCTCTCCAACTCGCCGGCAAGAATATTGGATTTTCTCAAATCCCTGAAAAATGGAGATTGAAAATAAGCACATTTGGGTCAATTGCTTATTGTGAATAATTTATATTTTTCTGAATTTATTACAAGATTTGGAACTAGTTTTGGCTCCATGTGTAATAAAGATGGTTTTATCAACAAACTGACTGGGTGCTTATTAACCCTGAACCCACCTCAATCAACATTGGAGGATATTGGAGTATTCAGAATGAATGGTGATTGAAGCATGGAGGATTGAGGACGAATACCATTTTAAAGGCTGGAAGATTTCAGAGGATTGAGGATGATTAATGCTGATTTAAAAGCTGAAGGATTTTGGAGGATTGAGGATGAATGGTGATTGAAGCATGGAGGATTGAGGACGAATACCATTTTAAAGGCTGGAAGATTTCAGAGGATTGAGGATGGTCAATGCTGATTTAAAAGCTGAAGGATTTTGGAGGATCGAGGATGAATGGTGATTGAAGTACATGTACTAAAAATCGGTCCCATAGTGGTGCATGTGGTCACATATTATACTGTTTACAATATACATGTACCAAGGACAGTGTGTTCCATTATTCGCTGCTGCTGGTCATAAATCACACAATCCTCAACTGCAGTGTGTTAAAACAAAGGCACATGTCTGCTTTATGTCAAAAGTAAAGCCGTTAGCCAACGCTGCAGAAAACAGCTTCAGCCCAGCAACCAATCTGATGTGCTCACCCCCCCAAACTCAAAGTAGGGCCATGGAGGATTTTGGAGGATTGAGAATTCTGGTACTCATCATTTTGCGCATGAGCCAAAAAAAGAAGGATTTTGGAGGATTAAGGATGTGCCATAGTTGGTTTAGGGTTAACCACTTGCTGCTAGGTGGTTTAAAATATGTACAGTGTACACACACGAGACATTTTCAAGATTTTCAGTTTTCATAATTCTGCAAAAATTCATCATTTTAATTAATGGACGTTTACACCCATACGAATGACTGTCTGGCGGCTACTCTAATCCAACAGATAAATCTATTGATGCCCGAGTATTTCAGCCAGGCCTGCAGCCTAGTAAAAAGAGCCCAGATTGTGCGGTGTTATGTAACTTTCTTTTGTTCACAAACTTGGCACAGGTGGTGGAGCGCATTTGTCCTCGATGGTAATCAGCTCGTGCTCAATCCCAAAAACTGTGGTATACCGTTTCAAAACAAAGCTGGATTATCTCCACTATTGACAGTGAAAAAATATTGGCAATGCCCAGCAGCCTGGTCTTTTGTTACGAGTACAGTCTTTTGTTACAAGGCACTGTTCCCTTTGTCCGACTTTGGAGACCCCGGCCACACGTATAAAGCATACGTGTCCGGTGCCAGAAACCCTGGTGGAAAGTGGTTAATTAGAAAAATGAGCAAATAATTAACGGTAGAGGGATTTGAACCCATGACCTCTCAGTGCAATATCATCTAGGCTGCCAGCCTTTTGTGGTTCTTTCTATGTGTCTGTAGAGTGTATATCTTTGTTCAAAAAGCACCAGTGAGAAGCCAAAAGATATTTTTGGGTGTTCATTTTTTTTAAACAGAGGAGTTAAACTGCAGTCAAGTTGTTTGATCAGGTTCACATTTTGTAATTTATTGACTGACCCCCTAAAACACCATTACTGAACACTTACATGTGCATGTACAATGTCTGTTCTCAAACTTGATTCACATGCACAGTTTGGTAAAGCTCATGAAGTATTCAACACATGTATGCCACCTGCTTGCACATGCTTTCAAGGGATGCCTCCCAATTCTGGTTGTCATATCAGCTTCAATGTGAAATTTACTGTACCTGCTCACCACCTGGTTCAACATCAGGATCTCTGGACACTTTTCCTGGGATAAGATTCAACACACTACCAAAGCTCTTGACAACAGAAGTCATCTGGCCTTCAATGAGTCCGACAATAAGTTGTGAGCGTTGCACGTCAATGTAGTCATAACCAATGGAGGAGTACTCTAAGTTCTCTGTCAGTGTCTTGTTCATAGTGACCTTGTAACCCAAACGGTATAAGCCCACGTCCAGAAAAAAGCTTTCAATGAGGAGCGTTGAGGTGTCTTCATTGAGTTTCTTCACTTTAGGTTGGTCCTTCAGCAGGGTACCGCTTTGTGGATCTAATTCCTCTAGAATCCACTCCTTGGAGTTATCCGTAAACCAACAGTTGACTTTGGTGACCCCTTGGAAAGCTAAGCGCTCTTTTCGGAGTGCGACTTTTGGTAGCCACCAGCCTGGGTTACCATTCTGGATACTGACCTCAGGTAGACCACAGTACTTCCTAGCCTCAGAGACAGGGAGCGAGATGGTGGTGTTATCGGTAGACAGTGTGTTCCAACCACTAGCCCGGGCTATATACATACTTTGACTACGGAAAACATGCTGCAGACTAAATAACTCTTTGAGTTCGCCATGCTGGTTGGAATGATTACCACAATGACCATAGGCTTCCTGGGCTGAACCATCACCAAAATCTACCACCACACAGGAGTTGGTTCCCTTGTCCTGTATGGTCACATTCAGGTGCCTGGTCTCATTGGCTCTGGACACACCTAAGTCGATGATGCGGATGCCACGGATAGGCCGTAAGGTATGAATGGTGGTTCTGACTTCCAATCCAGGTGTGACTGGATTACTGGCAGTTATGTTAACAGTGAAGGTCCCAAGCTAAAAACAAATATGAAATTCAACCATTATTGCAAATATTGTCAACTAATCAAACCAACACTGATTCCAATATCTGACAGACATCCACTCCATATTACATTCTCTTTTTGACTATAAAACACAGTGTTCTCATTACTATAGCTTGTCAACCAATGGCAGCCCTAGATTGAGCAGGTTTGGTTTTGTCAACCTTGCTTTCAGCCCTGTCTCATGTCACTTTTACGATAAGTAAAAGCTTGTTTCAGTCTGGGGGTATGCGTTCAACCCTAGGATGACCATGAGTGAAAATCCTAGTTGTGACAATCCTTGTTAATATGCAAATGTGCATGCAATCCAACCCAATATGACATCTTTTTCAGGGTTGATTCTGGGTCACTAGCATTACCGGCAAAATTTTCCATTGTGGAAAAGGAGAGCATGGAGTATAAATGACACAAACAACAAACCTTGGATTAAATTCCTTAAAACTCTGCAGATTGTGTCATGTTTAAAACCATGGGCACTGCCATGGATACTTGTATACACTTTACTCAAAGTCTTTTGCAAGCCACTTTTCCAAAGACTCGTCATGGGATTGCCAATATCTCATGGGTAGGGGACTAGTCTCCACTTGCACAGATATGACACAGTCTAAAATAGCCAGGCCCTTTTAGAGTTCTGTGTGTAACAAATTCCTTCAAAGTAAATCTTTTTCTGGCACTGTTTTAATTTTGCAGTCTGGTACCAAACTGACCGATGGAAATTTATGGTCAATAGGGTTGTTTTCGAGCTCTTTGTGTGTGTAGTTTTCCAAAGCTGATCCATCACCAAAGTCCACGACATATTCCACCTCAGAACCTGGCAAGAAAACAAAAAGACTACATCTTTGGATTCAAAGACAATTCTGTGGATGTTTCAAATGCTCATTGATTGTCACAGAGAGAATGCAAATACATGTACCATCAAAAAGCCTCTTGAAGTAATAAAGTCTTTGCCTTCGACAAAGTTACAGCTGAAGGATATTTCCATTTGTGTTTATGCTTATCTTTACTTCAAAATTGTTGGATTACAATAGTCAGCCATTCTGCTTACTCCAATTGTCCCCGAGGGAAAATTTGAGTAACAATTACAATTTAACTATATTTTGCCAACACCACCGCAATGATACATGTAGATACTTTGGACTATGTAGTCACCAATTTGGAACCATGTCTAGGACATAATCGTATCACTGATTATCAAGAGCCAATTTCAACTATCAGCACAAATGGAACCACAGGCATGAAATTAATTGTCCAAGATACCATTTACCACGTACATGTAGGCTGTGAGAGTTATACCTAGCAAAATATGGGACGGAAAGGTATCCCCCTACATGTCCAAACACTCCAGACTTTTGTTATCTGACACATCCCCCAAGATGTCTGTAAAGAATTCCTGAGATTCTGATCAAACAATGACCAACACAAAGGTAGGGGGGTGCTCTCTGTCTCATATCATACTTCAAATGATATGAAATGTGGATGCAATAAACCAATGCCACTATTGCCACCATCTGGCAAAGGATGAAGCACAGCAGGTGTCCAAAGGGATGCATCGATTCAGAGCTGATGACAAAAAGGCTATCTGCTCAGGGCATGCACAGTAGAGGGTGGTGTTGTGTGTGGGTTTTTTTTTGGGGGGGGGAGAATTTGGGGGCCTAAAAATATTTCCAGAACTCTTGATGCAATCTTAGTTTATGACCTTATCTGATGTGAGGCTCAAGTTAGCAGCTTTTATTTACAAAATAGCTTCTTTATTTTTTGGGGGGAAGGCATGTCCAGTGTCCTCCATCCACCCACAAATATTTTTCTAAAAGGTCATACCTTAAGAGCTTCATAAATCTTCATACGTCATAAAACCACAATGACTCACCTGCTGTGTAATCCATGTTGAAAATGACAGGTCTATCCAGAGGGAAGGTATCATTTAATGGACCATGGCCAGGACGAGGTGAAGAGCTCAATGATTTGGACGGCTTGTACATAGCGAGAGATGTCACTCCCTTCAAGAGCTCATAAACTGTAACCTGAACACACCAAAAACGGTGATGTGAGGCACTCAACTGTCTGTAAAGCCTGGTTTCCATATCAACGTACATGTAAGAAATGCAGAGAGCAATGCAATCAAGATGCAAACTGCAACGCGGACATATGGAAACATGTCAAACAGAAGGGTCGCAGGCAATACAGACCAGCTTGTGAATGATCAGTCTGAGAGTTGAGCCATGTTCAACTTTGGCGACTGTCTGCATCGAGTAGCCATGGTGTCCCTATCAGAACATGCATGCTGACATGACCGGTGTGCAACGATGTGCCTCTTGCTTAATTCCACAAATTTCGCCCATTTTTCACTTAATGCTTAAATATCATAGCCCAGTGATCAACTAAATAGCTGTAGTCAATCTGCAAGTACATTTTGCGTGACAAATCACAGAGTTTATGATGCCATTTTGTTTCAATGTTTGAGTGGAATGACATCATGCACCATCTCTTTTGTTCATGTCTGCGTCTTCATGTTTTGTGTTCCGTCTGCATTACAAATGACCATATGAAAACCAGGCTTAACTCTGCGAATGAGAAAAGCAAACAAAATGGCCTATTTACTTAAAGTAGCACTGCAGTCTGTCTGCTTGTAACAATGGACCTGTTCGGTTGCAGAAATGACCCACTTCCTCACAGAAATGGCTTGATTGCTTTTTAAATAACTTTAAGGCTTGGTATAGCCTGTATTTGTTTGACTGACAAAAGATTCTTGATATGAGATGACTGCTTATCTAAAGTGCTACATGTGCACTGTACATGTACAAAACTAATTGCTGACTGTATAACATATATTATATGTATTCAACTCCCTAAAATGTCCAATTAGCAGTTGCTTGCAGATAGACCAACACTTTATGGTCAAGAACCCTTGAAGACAGTGGAGAATGTATTCAAAGGTAATTACAGTCCAATGTACCCAGTGCAGCAGCTTTCAATGATCTGTGTTTCTGTCCCGGTCCCATGGTCTCCAAAACTCCAAATAAAATGTGTACAAGTGCATTAATTGAAATCACTTCATGATGGGTGAAGAGTCAAGCCGAATATGTGATGTTGTCTGGCCACAGTTCTTAAATGACATGTACTGTAGTTGCGGATTCAGGCGACAAGAATACTATCTAACCTGAACAATGTCTGATATTGCATAATACAAAACAAGAAGCGATGTTTAAAACCAACATGAAAAACTCCCAGCACAAAAACATTTTAAAACTAACTGAGCACTGAGCACTTGCACAGTGAATGAGTAGCACATACTGTACCTAGCCTAAGGCTGCATGTACACATTAGATTTATTGGCATAAAGTGGCATTGCTAGACATATGGTACCTACATGTCCATGTGAAGAGGCCACACCAATATAAAGATGTTTTGACCGATAAAAGCACATTACGGCTGACAGAAAGTCAAATGAAAAGTGCTAAATTGGTACAATATCTGCAGATCTGCTGACATTATCATGGCAATGGTCAATTTTATATTGAAAACTTCTTGATCATACTGTCATAGCTTGACTGGTTCAAACTGCAAACATTTTAATCACTTGCCAAGGGGTAACATCTCTGTAAGGTTAATGCCACTATCTCCTAAGCATAAATATCCTTGAAACCAGACATTTTGTCACAGGCTTACAGGTATCATGAATCACGTGCTAATTGCACTTGGGATGGCGTAATGGTACACAGGTACGGTCTTCTGATAATAGAGACATATCCCCTCAAGATTTGAGTATGGATTCCTAATAGATGCTCATAATGCCTTCTTTTTTAGGGTGGTATGGGTTTTCAAGAAGCTGGGATGCCTAGAGGCCTACTGCTTGTCTGCGGTACCTGGCTTCAAATACTGAACATAACAACATTGCTGTAGACTGCTCTGCCCTGAAGTACACTGCAAATGGATCTTAGCAAGAATTCAAGCTTGTATACAGTAATTTCAGTTGGTCTTGCATTCTAGACATGGAGGACAGGTGATGAATTGTTCAACAATACCTGTAGGAAGTCAACCGTGAAGATGGTCTTCTAGGCGAAGCCTCAATTGTGTATTAACGAGTTGAATGGACGTGAGTTAACTGTTTCCTTTACTTTTGAACCAACTATTCAGCATTTTGGACAGACACCCATTTCCTGCAATACTTTGGACTTGTTTACACACTCACCTCCATTTCATAGAATTCCTCACTGACCAAATTATAGATGGTGACATTTATTTTGTAGGTACCGGAGTGGGTGAAATTCATGCTATGAAAAAATTTCTGGTTGTGGGAGGTCAAAGTTGAGAGGTCAACAGTTCTGGCTGGTGGACAAGACACATGGTCCAGACACTTGACTGTGGCTTGAGGTTTGGTAGCAAGGGGTTCACCGAGTGCGTTGCTTACAGTTATCTCCAACTCAGTAAGCGTGGCTTCAGGACAAAGCAAAAAAGTAGAAGATATTATTCCAAGTCTATCACTTTACAGTTGCAGTCCACCAGCTGTTTACACGAACCTGTACCGGTAGGTTTGCCAACAACGCTGTTGGATTACAGAATTGCTGCCAGAAAAAGGTGGCTTTGGAAAACACATTTAAAAGTCACCACCGTAAATTGTTGATATTGATGACCCCCTCACTAAAAGTGGCTAAATGAATGCTTTCCCATAAAATACACACACATAGTGTACATAAGGAGGCCAGCTGCCATCAAATGACATGAAATGGCAACCATAGACTACACTGCACGCAGCCATACCATTCAAGTGTCACTTTTAAGTTTACAGATAGCACTTTGAAATACTCTTTAAGAATGCTAATTTATTATCAAATTATTGAGCCTCCAATTCTTTTGAGTGATTTTCAAATCCAAATATTTAGATGTATCTAAAACAAATATCTGAATATTCAACAATTGATGAATATTAAAAAAAACAAGCACAGCCCCATCAAACTACTTTTTGTGATGGCTCTGTTGGTTGCAAAATGTTGCAGTTAATGAGATGCTTGCAACAGAATGGTAACATCCCCGAATTAAAACCAAAACAAAGCAACATTAGTATACATCAATACCTGTGCCATCCCCCTCAACAGCTTGTGTGGTCGGCAGAGTGACCTGGAAATGATTCTTGAGAACTGGATTCTGGACGTGAATGATGACAACCAGTGTCTCGTTGCTGATTAGGTTACTAGCTAGGATGTTCACCTCATAGGTATTAGCAGAGCCATAGGAATGCGTCTGGTTAATGGAGGCTAGTTACACAAAAGAGAAACGTCAGATATGGAAGTTAGGTATTTGCATAAATCACAAACAAAAGACAATTACCAAAACAAGATACAAAACAACTTCATGGAGGCAAGAAACAATAGCAAGAAAAATTTTTATGCTAAATCAGATTTTTGATGTTATTTCTTCTGGCAGTCAGGTTGGTGTAGTACTTCTTTCCTCGCCTTCCACCTCTGTGGCCCGGGTTCGACTCCTGGCTCGGTCCACACATGAATTGGGTTTTAAGTTCCAAACTGATTCTGTTGGCTTTACCCAGAATATTCCTCTGGGGTTTTCCTCCCACCTCTAAAACTGTAACTGCTTCTCAATGTCTCCTTTTCACGTTTCTTCAGGCTTTCAAGCTATGTACAGTGCCTTGGGTACTTTTGAGGAATCCTTGGTTTTATTACCAGAAAGACTTCATAATAACAATAATAAATTTTGCTTTTTCGTTGAGTCCATGGCTGCTCATGAACACAGGAACAGTTTTTGTTTTCAAGCTACTTCAGTATAAAAGCTTCAAGAAGTTTTTTTAACTTCATAGTGATCAATTGTCTTGTTTTTCATCTTTCAATTTCGATTCAGAATGTAACAGGTGAGCAGTGGATGCATCCACACTCACAAGTTGCACAAGAGAAGCCTAGAGGGTGATGTCATATCCACAGTGTGCTCTCTATCTGGAACAGAAGGGGAGGTTTTAGACATTGAAAACAGTGTGCTTAAGAAATATCTAAAAGCCTCTTGGACATCTTAATACATGTAGCTTTTAAACAGTGCTCTGGGATATGAATACTGTCACAAGACAAATTATGGCTTGAAATTTCTGTCATGAAGATTTTAAAAAGTGTTCTTACATGAAAAAACATTGCAGAATAAGAGTTGCTTTTAAATATTCAGGACATTTACGTCAATATACAAATAATGAATGCTTATGAGTGCGATGGTAAAAGTAATTGCATGAAGTGACAGATGAAATGATCTATTCCAATATTCCAATTCTGAAGCAATTATGCTTACCATTGCACATTCATTATTTGTTTTATATAACACCTGTATAAATCCTTGTCATTTGATCTTCTGAGTACAGCTGGATCAATTAACTGATTCAAACTGGAAGTTGTCCAGTTGTGAATCAGTTACTTTTCTGACACGATATTCCAATCTCGTTTAATCCTTTGGCGGCATTTTATCCATTTCCTTATGTTGGTAGCATCAGCATTACTAACAAAAGCAAGTTCTTATCATTATTTTGCAGACCTGTGAATGGTGGAGCTTGATCGCTCATCATTTTGCCAGAAAGAGTTTTGAGCGTCTAGAAGCTACAGTGCAATTGATCCAGAGGTGTTCGTTATTCGTTTCCAACGTACAGTTATTAGTACAAATGTTTTGCGCGCTGCATGCACATTGCGCACGCTTTGTGTTGGTTCAAATAATTCAATGCCATGTCATCAACGATCCCCCTATCAGATGAAGGGGATTTATGCTGGTGTTGTACACCCAGCACTGTTGCACAGGTGATTGGTGACATACTCTACTATACCTGAGTCTGGTGTGTATGTTTCGTTCTGCTGGCCATCTCCCCAGTCCAAGGTGTAATAGATATGACTGCCATTCAGTACTGAGATCTCTATGTTGACTTCTTGCCCTGGACGGGCAATTGGTTTGAAATGTCTGTATTGCAATCCTGAAGAATGGTAGAAATTGGATAGAAGGTGATAGAAGGTATCTAAAAGTGGCATGACAGGTTTACACCTGCATAATTATCCTCATCATATGTCACAAAGGATTGCTTTCTCTTAAAGTCCCAGCAGCCTGGTGCCCTGTAGGCTGCTTGATCAAATTGTCTAGTACATTAGGTGATTTACTCCTTCCTAATACACTGAGAGTCAGGTTGGCACACTTGCACTGTCTTTTGAGTACATGGTAAGTGTCCAGTCCTACATGAATCTCAGTCAACATACATTTGTACATGTACACATGGATCACTTTTTCACGCTGTCTTTCCCAGAATATTTCCAATTACACAAATCCAGGTTTTCTTCCGACTACTACTAAGTAACTTTAGGCGGGTGACTTACTTCTGGGGACTCTAGAAGACCCAAATTCACTACAAACACTGCAAACGCAAATGTGCTTAGACAACTTGGGGTCAAACTTTCAAGGGCGGTGATTACTCTGAAACGTGGTGGAACACAGTGCCCAGAGTAATTAAAACTAGTGTGAGAATCAAACAAAGTTAGCCCCCTTAATGGTACATATACATTCAGTCCACTTAAGCAAGGCCCTCAACACTTTGTGGAATCTAGATGCCTGTGGTAAGAGTTGGAGCATTTTCTGACCATTGCACATTTTTAAAAGCATCTTTGGACATTGTTTTTTAGTTCTGAAGCATTTAATTAGCTAATTAGCTATTACAAGCTGTGAAATCGAATGTAGACCTGCAATTTTTATTCAGTGGCAAAAAAGTGGGAGAGGGGGACAAATGATATGTCCCCTCCCCCTTTTTGTGGCCTTATCTCATACTGATCGATGTGCCTGCAAACTTGTAAGGTTAATAAAGGCGGAGTCATTGAATAATGGAAGCTTCAAATATTTTACCTTAGTACCTTCTATTGATTATACATGTACATATTTGATTACATAACCAAATTCTCACAAAACCAGAATCGCACTATGCATGTTTGTGTTGGGCTCAATCCCACTACGTTTCAGGACAGTTTACAAAATCTTACAGATCTAGATGACAAATTTGTGTGTTTTTACTCAGCCCAAACTGTCAGCAAAGTAAACAGCCATGCTTACCACTTATAGCAATGAGCCCAGTTACATTAACCCTGTCCACAACACCAGCTGGTATGATGCTGTTAGTCACTGTCGCTGTCACATTAAAATCACCCACAGCTGTCAAGATTATCTGTGGTTGGCTGACTAGCGGATCCACAACAGTAGCTCTCATTAGGTGCTGGGCAGGATCAAGCTGGAAATTGCTGACTGTTAGATCTCCTCCAACTGTGAGAGTTGTAGGGTTGATTGCTGATTTATATTCTGGAGGGGCGGTGGTGTTCTGCTCAGGGTTTGTCTCCACACTGATGCTGGCTCCACCTACTCCAAAACCCAACCCAAGAACGTACCCAACATCCATGGCAAACAGCTCACACAAAGTATCACTGAAATTGTAGTAAAACAGCCCAGGGGATGTGACCTGCATCGGGACAAGCTGGACAACCTCGTATGAGGGTCTGTCTGGACTAATGGCATCAGAGTCAAACCTGACAGGTCTGGTTGAGCAAGAGTCTGATGTCACTGAGCAGCTAGCCTTAGGAAGGCAGTACAGGTGAGGGGCAGCATTATTGCAAGTATCCTGTGCAACGGGGTTACTATGCCAAGTAGGATTATAATTACATTCAGATTCAGATCGGCAGAGATTATTGGTGGGACAGTAAGCACCAGTTCCGCACTTTGGCTTCAAAATCTGCAACAGGAAAAAAATACATGTAACTCAATGCTAAATCTATCTGTGTAATAAATGTTTCAATGTTTTTCCATTGACTGTTTAACACCGCCCCAGAGTTACTTCAGACCGACATGTAATGCTAATTATATCAAGACATTCATGGAGTCACGGATGGTGTACTAGAGATGACAAAATTGTGACAGCCCTGACTCCCTGTAGGCGTCGCAAAGTGCTGTCGCCTGTTCCTATTGTAAATTTACACAGAATCTCTGCTATAGTGTCGTGCTGTCATAGTGTCAAGTCGTGATGTCTTGCCATTGTGTCATGCCGTCCCATCTCGTTGTGCCGTCACATACATGTAGTGCCTTTGACCTGTTGCATTGTGCCATTATGTCATACATGTACATTGTACCATCACCTGTTTTCTCATAGCCAATTACAACACCAAAGAACATGTTAGACGCAACATGGTGTCGTTCGTCATGTTGTGGTATCATCCATCATGTTGTGCCGTGGCGTCATGCCTCCGGCCGCGTTAAGGTTCCCATCATTAAGGGTGCCACCTACTCCCAAGGGACGGGTGATAACAAGACACAACATGATGGCATAATGCAACGGGTGACTGCACCATGCGATGGGCAACGCTACATTGCTTCTTACTTCAATCATATAATTAGCTATGAGAAGCCAGGCGACGGCACAATAAAACTGCACGACATGATAGGCAACAGCATGACATAATAATGCACATTTATCGAGTACAGAGACTGATAGATAGGCAAGGGAGTGATATTTTGTCAGAGCTTTTGTAACATCAAGGCCTTTTCCACCTAGTCTTTGCTTGGCACAAGTGACACATGTCGAAGACATTCATGAGAAATTTGAAGCAAACTGAACAGCATATTTGATAGAGCTAGAGGGTCAATTGGTCAGTGATGGGCCTGCATGTAATTTTAATCACACAAATGGTGAAGAGGTCTATATATGGACATCAGTAATTATTCCCTACAGTGACCTCTTAGCCTGCCATGCTATCATCAGTACAAACATGTCCAGAAAAGTTCCATTTAGGAGGGGACAAAGCAATTCGGTTGTAACTTTCTTGCTCTTCCTTTTCAGCATGTTTAAGATCAGATTTGACAAACATATCAAGGAAAAATCTTCATAAATCTCCCAGAGAGATCTCAAGCACCAACATGATTTTCTGCATATTGCCTGCCGCAGGTGTTTGCATCATCAGTTTACGTGACAGGGCTTAGTCGAACAATCCAACCGTGCCTTTACAAAAACTTTAATTCATTTTTTTTTGGGGGGGGGGACTTCAATTCTTATGGCTCTGGGAAAAACGTTATTGGACTTTTTCATTTTGTGGCAGAATGGTGGCTTTATAAAGTTTTGGGGGGATGTACTTAATAAAACTTGTTATGTCTTGTTTTCAAATTTTTGGGGGGGGGTGGTTGCCTGCCTTATTAAAAAATTTTGTTGTTGTTGGCAAGTTACAATTGACATTATTTTACAAACTTTTGAAGTAAATGAAAACATGCCATCACTCCATCATCACAGTGGACTGAATGGTGACGATTCCGAAATGCACACAACGGCTGACCGCGTTGACTAGTGTCAGTTGCTTGACCGTGCATGCACATGCATGACGTCAATGCGTCTCACATTATGTCACCCTACCAGCGTGAAGGGAAGGCATTGTAGCCAAAACGGCAAATTAGGTGACGAACACATGACTAAGAAATCAAATTGTTGTTCAAGTTAATTACAATAATAATTTAAGCTCTGAGAAAGCTCTGATTTCTGTGAAGGTACAAGTTGTCTTCTACGTGAAGGTACGAGTCATCTTTACCGGAGGTACATGCTGTCCAAGGTGTGATTCGGCAAAGGTACGAGCTGGTACGGTTATGTTGAGTGGATGATACGAGTTGTCAGTGGTTATCTATGGTACGAGTTGACCTGTTTCCGCCACTGGAAACCCCACGCACAAACCCCATGAGACTGGTCTGAAAAATACCGTTTTCTCGGTAAACGACATGGCCAGGATGGTACTTGGTAGGATTGGTATATATATCCTTAATGAGGATGCAGCGGGAGTGAGAGTCCGTGCCACATACTACTACTACTAGTACTAGTGCAGTTGGGGCTAGACATGCTTTTGCTTTCTGATGGCAAATAGGTCATTGTGGGAATAATTACTCGTCCCCGTACATGGAACTCTTCCCCTATTCATCTCTTATTCTTTCAAGTGTAATTTGGGGGAAACAACGAAGGCATAGGTTTAGAACACATTTTTACCAAGAGTGTGAACGATCCGTCTCCAACTTCTGAAATCAGCGCCTCTATTCCAAGCAGTCTGGTTCTCCCTAAGGATTCTGTCACCGGTAAAATCCACGTAGAGGTGGTTGCTGGAGTCTGGGAACCGTTCACGCCCACCACTCCGAGTGAAGAGAACGTGGGACCTCGGAGAAAAACAATGAACACTTGATAACTACGGTGGTTCAAAGTGGACGCAATAAAATCGTCAAATAAACCGTGTCCCGGTGCGCGGTTTATAAACTAAGGTGTTATCATTCAAAACAAGTCTGCTCCCAGGCAATTTGGCTCACTAGGTCGGTGTTTATCTCTGGTTTCCTCAGCATGAAACGCCTGAGAGTATTTCTATATCTATATGGGATGGCAGTAAATCACAGGTTTCTTCCTCAGCTAGTGCTGGTTTATAGCCCTGGGTGGAGAGAGGCAAGAGGAGTAAAGTGGCTTGCCAAGGGCCACAACATACTGCCAGCAGCTGGATTCAAACCTCCAGCCCTATGATTGGAAGCCACACACGTGCACCCTGGCCCTAACCACTTGGCCACATGCCCCCCATTCGCTATGTATCAAGCATAAGTATTATTTATAAAAAAAAATTAATTTGAGAGAATTATGTTGATGGTTCTTGCAATCAATCTTTCTTTGGCCGCTCTTGCGTCATTAGCCAAATCTTGTCACCTTGTGAAAAATACTAAACTATAGCTACCTTAAGTTGACAAATTGTATCCAAAAGCCGAATCCTTTCTGAGTGAGTTTATCACTTTCCTAGCCTGCCCGAATCGCCGCGATCGTTCATAGTCTATCCGGTTGCCACGCCTTGTACAAGGCTTGAGAAAAGACCAGTGCTTGATGCGATTCACTGCAAGCCGCAACGAATGCTTTTGCGAAATTGTTTTGAGCGTGTGTTTTCCATTAGTTTTATCTAGTAATTTGGTAACACATTCAATTTACGACAAAAAACCGGCACTGTTTCGACCAATAAGATGGTGGCCATCCACCGGCGAAGACAGTCCGAGATATTTTAATAAAAAATTCTTTTGTCCCGAACACATAGAGCATGTAGAGGACCGACAGAAATCAACAAGTTTTTTTTTTCATATCTAGTTTGAACACTTCTGTCTGATTTGGGGAACCATTCGTCATGCTCTTGAGAAAAATTGAAATCGATATTATAATTGGTGCAAGGTAAAACAAACTTCATAGGACCAGGAAGTAATAAAATGTAAAAAATAAAAATAAAACAAAATCAGAGATAATAATGCATTTAGAAATTCGCATTCCTATACACTTTCAACGGACTGCTGTCGCTTTTTACGTCAATGCCCATTGTATGCGCACGCTTGCATAATTATGAATCTATCCGTGAAAGGCCATTACGTATGTAATATATTTTGCTGATAAGTGATTGATGAGTGACGTTGAGGGATACGTCTACAGAGAGAATCGTTCCAGCTAGCAGGCCTTCTGAATTATTTAGCATGGGACCGCAGCAAACGAGTTGATAAAGGAAAGCCGCTGGAGTCGGCAGACTGTGGTCGAATAGCACACCAATTGTTAGTCCCTTTGCAGAGCACTTTGCACACCGCTCTTGTTCATAATATCCCCTAGCTGTGATCACCTTGTCTAATGAGCTCACCACTTTCCAAGTTTGCAGCACTGTTGTTGTAAGACCATGACTTTCTGACGAGCCCCCTAAGGACAGTTGATAAACGGAGAGGACCACCCACAAAATACTAGAGGGATAACTATCTCATTTGAGACCGCTGGTGCGATGCTTGTGATTCATGCACAGCGTTTGGGAGATTTTTGCGGTATTTTAATGGAATTGTGTGTCTTGCAGTATGCAATTTTGAGATTGCTGGTGTTTTCATTGCACGTGTTTGGTTTAGAGTTCGTCTGTAAATTAGGATTTACGTCTTTTGATTATCATGCATGAATAACGTCACACTTCAAAATAAAAGACGCTATGTACTGTATGGTGTATCTACCTGAAAAAGAGAAAAATCGCAGACGTCCCTATACCAGTGGCGTAGCTACCGGGGAGGGGGCTGGGGCCACGTTCCCCCCACAAATCCCCAGTTCCCCCCCCTAAGATGCTGGTGCCTCCTTTGTGCCCCCCCAGTAAACTCCTAGCTAAGCCGCTAAACTGTGACGATAGAATTGTCGTTTAAGCAAAGAGTTAGACAAAAATGACTTGAGCACCCATAAGTCTGAAGAGATTCGCCGTTACTTACACAGGTTTGTCAGTGAATTACAGAAAACTTGGAAAGAAGAACGGTCAGACCAAAAGTTATTGTCTAAACAATACAATGTGAATGTGCTGCTACAAAGGGTATACTGCTCAGAATAAAAAGACATACCTATGCCTATATTCACCTTAATTAGAACACGTCTAATGGGTGGATGGATAATAATCAAGACGAGAAAAGGGAAGATTTAATACCTCCAAGAGACATAGATAGAAAGTCCATATCGTCGACCGACATCGTCAGGGTCACATCCGAACCAAGTATAACCTCTACAGTGCAGACAAAAGGTTCTCCTATCTCCACAGCAACAGGGCATTGAAGACAAACACCGGCTGCTTCCATGGCAACGGTAACAGCGACGGCATCATATGCGTTGATCTATGACAAGACCATTGGAAAGATCATGGTAACGAGTCAATGATGCGTGGAAGGCTTCGAAGGAATTATGTTAGTTTATCCAACATAATGCGTGAGACATACGTGAACGGCCTAAGGAGGGAAAATAATCGCAACTGCTCCTGGGTGTTCACAAACTACACAAGAAGTTAATGAATTGTTAGCAATAATTTCGTAGATTTCAGTTAGCTGCAAACAACAGCTGAAAAATTCGAAAAATTTATAGATGATATTAAACCCAAGAGTTAAACTTGAACTTTGACGGAGCTGTCCAAAAGGCGTATTCACTCAATTAGTTTTTCTCGTCATGGGTGTCGCCAAGATTTTCATCAAGGGGAAAATCACTTTTTTTCCGGGGGACAGTTCTCTTTAGAAGCAAATAGCAGCAAATTACTCATAAATAATAGAAGTGGGTCAGTTTCAGGTTTTTTTTAAGCTAATTGTTGAGTTTTATCCCCTTCCGTCCCTTTTCCCCCCTCTTTTGCTTTTTTTTGTCTGCTTCATTTTTCAATCTTTGGATGGGAGGCAAATGCTCCCCCTTGCCCCTCGTGACACCGCAATGTTCTCCCTTATATTTCAACATTCTTCAGTATCGTTTGAAATGGAATTTAGGATGTGGCATGTGGTGCTCTTATTTTTACTCATATTTATCCAGGGTGGCTTATTCACCAAACGGTGGTCTTCCATAAGGCCCTGTCATACCACTTGAAGAAAATCAACTTTAAAAGCTACATGAAAATGAATGAACTTAAAAAACTTCAATTTTAAGATTTTTAAAGATTATCACGGAATAAAAATCAGCAGTAAACGGGAAAGTAAAATTAGTGAAAAAAACACAAACAACGCATATATGTAAAACAACACACAGTAGCAAACTGTAACGTAGTAAAATATTAATATATTAAAAAGAAAAATAAAGGTGCATAAAGTATTAAAAATAAGATCCGCGGAAGCCAAATAAAAACTATCTGAGGGACTTTTCAGAGATAACGTAAAATTGGTAAGGGATGTTGCTGTTTTCATTGACTGATCAAGCTTGTTCCACTCTGAAATTCCTGTCACAAACGGACTGTTCCTCAAACAGTCGGTTTTTCATTTTGGTATAATAAGTGAACTCACGGCATATCTCGCGTTATAGTTATGACTCTGGTTTGTTTGGATGAATTCATCAATCAAGTAAGCTGGAGCCAAATTGTAGAAACATTTAAACATTAGTACAGCACGGTGATACATAAATCCATTTTAACTCGTGTAAAATGTCAACGGACGGAGTATCATAATTCCTGTTGAATGTAATTCTCGCTGCACGTTTCGGAGGTTTCTCAAGCTTATTAGTATGCATACGGAATCTTTCTGACCATATCTGACAACAATCAAATTTGGGGCTGAATAAATGAGTTATTCAGCAGGGTCAATCTTTCTAAAGGAATATACAATCTGACCCTTCGAAGCACGCTTAAGTTTGAATGTACAGTTTTAGTACTTTTGTCCACCTGGAGAGTAAACCCATCTGCAATAAGTAATAAAAATACATCAACAAAAAGTAGTCTCAACTATTGGCGTCTGCTTTCACAGGTTTACCAGCCTTGGTAATCAAGACTTAAATCGTCCCTCGTTCTACCAGTCGATTTATTCTTTTATAATCTTGGATTGGCGCATGGTACTTGTTTCGAATCATTTTTGATACTTCAGTTTAACGATAAGGTATCCAATTATCTCAACAAAATGTTTAATAGGTATAGTCCATCCCGATACGTACACGCGAGTAGGGTAATTCTAGTTGTTTTCTTGTATTTCCACTGTGAGCATTTTTGCTCATAACTGTAAAGTTGGGGAAGGGGGTCAGATTGGCGTAGTGGTTCTTTCCTCACCTTCCACCTCTGTGGTCCCGGGTTCGATTCCCCGCTCGGTACATGTGTGGATGGGTTTTCAGTCCTTGCCTGATTCCGTGAGTTTTACTCAGAATATTCTTCAAGGGTTTTCCTCTTACCACTAAAACTGTAATTTCTTCTCATTGTCTCGTCTCTACAGGTTTCCTCAGGCTTACGAACTACAGGGCACTTTTGGTCTCATTAACAGCAAGACTTAAATAAGTAGCATTTTTTTGATTGCCTGTCTCTGATAAACTGACGTTTCGGGAGAATGGTAGGACCTGCGTAGGAATTTCATAAACTGGTGTTAAAAAAATGCAAGATAGCATTGGAAACTTTCTGAGTGCTCGGTGGGGGAAAAGTGACTGCGGTAGTGACTATATTGCAGAAAAAGGATTCCACCCGCTGTATAAATAGTGTTATGGCATGAACCACGTAATAGGGCGTTGGGTTAGAACAAAAAGACAAACGGGTAGATTTACCAACAGATTTTTCCGTGCTGTCACAACAGTAAGGAAACGACCACTAGTCGGGAATTTGTGACTGGCTACCAGAGTGGAATCCAACCACATGGTCATGCTACCATCGCCAGGCTCAATGCCTAACTGGATATCACCACTGCCGATAACAACACCTTCTGTCGTCAGATCAACGGTCTGCCCTGCGATGATAGGGCCCGCAAACTCTTCAAGCTGCACGGCTGGTGGCGTGACGGGTAGCGTGTCAGTAGGCACAGCGATGTGGGTGTCATTACCGCAGCTCTGTAGTGGATCACCGGGGCACTGCATGCCGCAGTCCGCCGATGGATTGATGAGGTAGGCGGTGTCGGAGCATAGACAATGGCCGGCCTATAGAACGAAACAAATACACAGAGCATGCTATTCCTCGCTTCCCTGAAATGATATATTAAGTGCAGTAGAAATAAACACAACTGCAGACTGCAGTTAATTTGCATTAATTCCAAATACTCTTTGAAAACAATACGTACATCCGCTAAAAAGTTCACCCAAGTCACGCAACAGATAACAATGAGCACAAAGCCAAATAATAAAACACTATGTTTATACTAGAAATAATAATTAATGTAATATATAACACAAATAATAATCTTAGAAATAGTCTGATACGGATTTGGCTATTTAACTTAGGGGAAGATAATACGATTTAGGCTGAAAGGGAAAGTTGATCAATTATGATGTGGATATAGCTCCAGGGGGATTGATAGAAAGCTGATGTCCTAGAAAGTCTTCTTACCTGCAGACCCGAGTAGGTAGCAGACAATAGAATGCAAGCAAACATACAGTCTTCATGTTTAACGGTGACAGGATCGTAGTTCCCTCCAGACATCGAGAATTTTGGACTCGCTTTTTCGATGGGGTAGCAACCAATTTCCACGGCGGCTGTTGGAAGGTAATTAAAAGTCGTATTCCATAAAGACCAACCCCCTTGGAATCTTTGCGCCCCCCATAGTGCTGGAATTGCCCCTCCCCTAGGAGCTTTTCTCTCGTCCTGGCTGTACCCATGCCCCATGCATTCTCGACAATACTGTGAGCAACCGGAAGCGTATCAGAGTTTTATTAATATGAAACTTGGACCAGGAAAACTTTGTTGACTTTTGTTTTTTATTCCGCATTACGAGCATCCTCATTATGACCATTAGTGGTACACCAACTTGTGCATCGCTTCTCCAAAGGTTTTAGGGTGAAAAACCTGTGGTGTTCCTTTCGAAAAGAAATAATGAACTAGAAGATAGGCAAAGAAAGCACAACATGCTGAACTTTTTTTTTTCGAAAATAATAAGAACAAATTATAACTTATAAATTCAGAGAAGGGACGGTTAATTGAAAAGACACTGGCAATTGAAAATTACAAGTAGATGCTATTTTTGCTCGGTACAGAGAAGGTGAGATTTGTACATGCAGCAAAATCAATCAAACCAAGAACAATGAAAGAAATACTCAAACATTCATCAACCAAGAAATAACAAATATCTTACCATTCACTGCCTGTGCGACAACCTGTTGTAAAAGAAAACAAACATTGAATTCGACGAACCTTATACCAAGAATGACTTTATCAAGTGCCCAAAGAAGTAGGAAAGGCTTTGGGGGCCGGTCATTTTCACTTCAAATTGTATGTAGAAAACACTCTTTAATCAGACACCTTGAGGTTTCAAGACCTTCAAATGAATCTTGCCCAACGTAAATCAATAGGAACCCCAGCTTTTTTTCCCCTAAACAAATGCCCTTTTTACCAAGGTACCAAATTGTGCCACACATGTACAGTACATAAAAACAGCTCTCAGTTTTCGTTTCTTACGCAAACTGGTGCAAAAGTACTGATAGCCTGGCCTTAAGACACGGGCGTCGCGTTGGGTAATTGACTTATCGCGTTTATCCCTGAAAAATAAAATAAACTATTTAAAAAAAAACCCGATAAGGAATTTAGATTAGGAAAATTACTGGAGTGAATAAAACTGACCAATTTTTTTTGGAGAAAAGCATCAATCAATTAAATGGTTTGTTATTAGATGATAGGTGCTTTAACCTCTAGAAACCCCCTCTCCCTCGAAAAAATTGCCCCCCCAGGTAAAATGCCAGTTACGCCCTTGCATTGAGACTGTCTCGTTCAGTTGTATCCAGTCATAAAGTTTGTTTAAATCGATGGAACAATTCCATGACAAATATAGGCTTTTACACTCTCTGAAAACGTCTGTCTAATGTTCAACAAAATGGCATTTGTCAAAAGTAATATCAACAAAAATATGCTGCAGTTACGTGCACGACAGCGTGGGTACACTACACATTAATTAGATAAGATTGGTTGTATCATAGTGTAACCTTGGTAACCAACCATTGCCATTTGTTAACTGTAAAGTGCTATCACCATGGTTACAGAAATTTATAATCATTTAGTGTAGGTGAGTGACTGCACGTGCTGTAAAGCTTCATTGACTTATCATCAACGCGTCATCAAGTGCAAGAGTGGGCAGTCTTTCTACCCTCAGAATTCCTATCCTGGACTTCCTTAAGTGAATGGTGCTGGTAGCAATAATACGCAATTCTTCTGTAACTTTATGCACTCATTCGATCTACAAGAAATCGTTTGGCATCCAGTCTAGGTTAAATGCATCATGAGAAAGTACACTTACTTAAATATGTAAAATCGTCCATGCTTTCCTCAAAAACTGCACAAAAACTCTTAATTAAAGTAGTGAAACAAAACTTGAAACTGAGGTTAACTGCGACGCAAAGGTTCATTTTCGAATTTTTGCATTTTATGTAAAAATTCCACTTAAGAGTCCCTTTAGGTCATGAAAGAAACGCCTTTTATGCATGCTCACATTAAGGGACCGTCGATTGAAGGTAGGCCTAACAGTGGTGCACATGTACGCTTCTGAGTAAAACACTTCCAAAACCCTTAAATGGAAACAATAACTTACAAACATTCCAGTCTTTGTAATTCCTTTTTTAAATCAGTAGGAAATCAAAAGTCCTAAGCAGAAAGGCTTGGCCTATACTGCGCAATTATTATTCTGAGTTGCAACGGCAATGAATGGAACATCAACAGGTTGCCTTCAGGCCAATGCTATAGAATGCTAAGAAGCCATTGCTACGGGGTCGATCTGTTCTCACTCAGGCTGTGCGCGCGCGTGAAATTCCTCCTTGACTAATAGGCAGTAGTCAATTGCCAAAGTGCGCGCGCGCGCTCGCTCAGGTTGAGCCAGCTGCGTGAATGTAAAGAACCCTCAGAATGGCATATCACCAGATTTATCTGTACATTCAGCCAGACAAGAAGTTGTTTGCTGCGTGGAACCCAGCAGGCCTAAGTGAAGGGCACGCGTAATTAACTTGACTTGATTTTGTGAGTTCTTGTGCTCCATAAATTTCGTTTAATGAATATTGATGTCATGTACAAATTGCACTCCATACCTTTTGTCTTGGTTTTTAGCTTTGGGCAGTACCATTGCTGCTTCAGTTCTAGTCTGGATACCAGACCTGACGATTCTGACTACTCTACTCTTGTGGTCGCATAGGGCGTTTTCGAAACGAGTGGATTTGGCTTAGACTTTGGTTTCGCTCCTTCCAAACACATGTTCAAGCTCTGACGGGAGGCAGCGAAACTGAAGTTAGTGCTGGGGTTTGAAGTGTTAAAGCTCACTTGCATCGATCTATACATTTGGAATTGGTCGCCATGTACAGGAGTATATGGGTCTTCTTGTGCACACTGTTTAAAACAGGGACCAACTTGCTTAATAATTTAATTATATGTTACTCATTCATTTTGGTAAACTATTTTGTAGAAATTTAAAAAAAATTGAAATAAGTAATTTAAGCCGCTGAAAGTCTTCTGCGGAGAGGTGAGGTAGCCTGTTTATACTCAAGTGGCTAATGTTAGGGGTTTTTCCTTTTCCCCAAATTTTATACTAGCGGGGTCCTGCTGAGATTTCGTTACAGTATATGAGCAAATAGCTCCCGTGTACGGTCCATCGTACGAAGAGATATTTAGTTCACTGTTAACGATAAACATTTTTGTGGTTGGCATGGATTTTCAAACACATCAGCTAATTGGAGCAAGCCCCTAAATGACCGAAATATTTCACAAGATCGACTGCATGGGAGCTTTGAGCAACAGGTCAAGAAAGAACTCTGATGAAGCATACAAACAGCTTCGTGTACAGGCTCTGTGAAACGGCTCTCATACCTCGACAGTTTGATTAGTTTTGAATGGTAAATCAACAGGGTCCAATGAATGCCATACCCTCAAAAAACTACGTTTAACAGATTTTTTTCAGATAAACGCAGGTTAAGACTGTACACTAAAAACTGCGTTTGTTTTCCGTAAATATAGTGTTCCAGAACAAAAATAAGATAAAAAATTCTGGTGTTTTTAGAATCTTCTGTAAACTCAGTAAAACGTGTTTCAAATTGATGGGCATATTTTCTGCAATTTGTTGTTAGGTTGCAGGAGATTCGCTGTTTCTTAATTGCACACGTTACTTTCAGTTGTGGTGAGATGCTTGCCCTTTTCTCTATACGTACAGTTGCAGAGGATATTTTGTTGCACACTCGGCGCCTTGGGTCGCCAGATTTCACGCATCGTGTAGAAGTTTGTTGAATATCCCCCTTTGTGGAAATGGTTAAGCCCAGAAGTTTCCACCAATAGTACTACCTGCCTCACTTTGGAACCAGTCTTTTGTCACTCCGGATGCACGTTATGTAATAGTCCTTGCAGCTAGCAACTTTTTGGCAGTAGCTTTTTGGTAGCCTTGTGGTTTGTTCTGTCTCTAGCAGCAGTATTGATAAAAGCCATGGTTGTGTAAATTAAGGGCGATAACACTGAATAAAATTACAAATCCATGTGCTTTACAAAAGTTGCTAAGGCGCTAGTTTGCCAACTGGACGGTAAAAATGTGTAATTTGGATGTGTGAGGGTTTTGGATGAATCAAGGTAGGGCAGACCAGATCAGATCTCGATAGAAGACAGACGTGTGTGTTTGCTGTATGATCGCATGAATTTCAGCCACTAAGCGTAGCAAGCTACGGCGGGCTTTGTTATCAGTGATCTATCGAAAGACTACACTTCAAAATAAGTGCTTGATTTATCAGGATTTTTTTGTGAGCATTTTGGCTGTAAAACACACCGAAGAAAGAAATTCAGCAGTTCTGTCAACCAAACACCTGTAAGTTTTAATGTTAAACTTTTAGTTTTAAAGAGGAACTATTGAACATAAAGTGTTCGTTTGATTATTACCAAACAAAAATGAACAAAATTTGTTATGTGGAATATGGTTAAATGCTTTTAATTATCATATGGCTTGAAGTTGAGGGACCAAACCTGAGATACTGAGATTTATTGGGGCTCAAGCTACTCAGACCAAGGAGAACCCAACCCAGAGGTAACCAAAGAGGCCATAGGACACTCGAAGGCCGTGGTGTTTCTAAGGATCGTGCCAGATTCTAACCAGTTGCGGTCCCTATATCCTTATTGCGTCCATTTCCCTCATTACAGACAATTACAGAACTTAAAACTGTAACAAAGAGAGCTCTATATTAATTTTGTATGAAGTCAGCTTAATGATTGCCTGCTGGTGACATAAATGACAAATAAGAAAGTGAAGACTTATGTTTGCTTTGATCGGCCGAAAATTACCCACTGACGAGATATTGTAAATACTTGTAAATACATGTAGACTCTTGAGAACTAAATAGAAAGTCTCTGGTATTTCTTTTCGTTGTTGGGTTTTAAATGTATTTAGTTGCAGACAGAAGAGACAAACAGTTTGGGTTATATCCAGTATCTGCGATACTGGGCTTATTGACAACCCAGGCCTAAGTTGGGAAGGAGGGCTTTTCATCGACTAGAGCAACTTAAGTAAACGCTTTTGGTTTATACAAATAATGTTCGCATGAAAATGGTCTGTTTAATGTAATTGATTATTTAATGACAATGTCCGCGGCGTAATAATGACCGCCACACGGCCACGGTTAAGTATACATATTATAGCCATGGAATATGTTAATATATGCTGGTTGAAAATACGAGTTTGAAATATAGTCCCTGTAGTGTTGTAATGATATTGTTCCAGATTGGACCTCTTTCCTAGAAGCAGAACTCCCTAGGAGGACCACATCTCCAGGTGATGTGATTTAGAGCAAAGCAGAAGGGCTTGAGCTCGAGGAGACTATCTTTGAATGATCTTTGTGACTTCAAAGTTAAAGAGGAAAATTTTCTTGTCTGTT